GAGTGGGGATGAATCTCAGGTTCCCTGAGAAGAGGAATGAGATTCGGCATCATGGAATGGGAACGTTGTCGGTGTGACCAGTGTCTGAACGTGTACAAACACGCTAATTGATTGGCTGACAGCATGAGCGGAGCACTCGCAAGTATAAGAGGGCGACTGCAAAATGTCATCAAGTCTTTTGTCTGAAGGAGATGTGCAGGCAAGCCCAATGCATGGAAATGAGATGCCACGTCTCATTCCCCATCTCAGGGAACCATGGTTACAGTCACATTTCAAAGTGGTACTTCAATATGGCATCATGGAGTTGACGCTATTGGGAACACCCGCCATGCTAACGGAGTGCCTGCCTAACTAGGCTGAACTTATGCAGACCATAGTGGGCACAAAACAACCTGACTCTCCAGAGAAATAAAGGTAGAGTCAGGATGCATCAACTCCCAGGCGCAAAATCACAATCCATAGACTGCTTAGTGGAGCTAATCCATAAGCTTATTTCATCTACTTGGCAAAAGAAAGCTACAGCTTTAATGTTCTATTGCAACAGAAGTCCTTGCCTTGAAACCTTCCTTCTTCCCTCACAGGGCAGGTAAAAATACCCAAGTCACCTCAGAGCAAAACCAAACCATAATGCCAGCTATGTCAGTATTTTGATAAAGCCCTCAGAGAGTAGCTCATCCAAACGGAGCCCTCGACTGCAACCTTTGATTTACCACTACTTCTCAGGGGGAGAAATTAGCTCTAGTACCACCAAAAAAGGATGAAGCTACGAGGAGCCTAGAGAAAAGGCTTTCTTGCCATTTCAACTCCAACCCCTGGGTGTCAAATCCTGCTCCTGGAGTGCTGGTGTCCTGCAGAGTTTAGCTCCAACCCCAATTAAACACACCTGAACAAGATAATCAAGGTCTTACTAGGCATACTAGAAATTTCTAGTCAAGCGTGTTGAGGCAAGTTGGAGCAGGACATTGGCCCTCCAGGACCGAGTTTGGACATCCTTGCCCTAAGGAAACTACAGTGGAGCTTAAGCTCTACTTATCTCATAGGGGAGAGAGCTCAACCCTGCATCTCGGGGACCCACTCAGAGATCTTAAGCACTAATCAAGTGCTGCTATAACAAGACCAGGTCTTCCAGGTCTTCCAAGCATACTGTAGGTCCTCATGAGTGCCAACGTGAAATAATCAGAGCCTAATCCATTATTAGACATTAGCTGTTTCTTATTAACTCTTTCCCTGTTTTTTTTTTTTTAAAGAAGCCACCGCCAGTTTTATTTTTTTAAGTTTTATTCTAGCTTCATGCAGTCTTTTTAAAAAATATATTTTTATCAACACTTGAATGTGGGTAAGTTTCATGAAAAAAGGAACATTTTGAACAGCTGAGAAAATTGTGTTTTTGTAAAAGACTACATCTGGATCAGATTCAGAACGCTGATCAAAACATAGATGAAATGGATAGTTTCTATCAACACATCCAAAGCGTGCATGGTCCTATACCACTTCCTGGGTTGACATTTCATTTGGTAACGTTAGGCAGTTTTGATTTATATGCTGTTTAATGCTTGATGATCGAGTTATTTTACATATGCATCTGCTTACATACACGATCGCTTGTTTCTGCTTCTTCACATGCGTTTTGATCCAGACGTTCAATACTCTTTCAGATGATGTATAATAGCGCCTCCTCCAGTTTTGCAATAAAAAATTATCCAAATTTAATGCAATAAACATTCATTTAACAACATTAGGTGTAACACACAACCCTAATATACAAAACTGATAAGAAAAAAACTAAGAAGAAACATAGTTATTTCAACAAAAAAACATCAAATTTGAAATGTAACGCAGGGAATTATGGGAATGTCAATTTACGGTTATTCACTGTAAATTATACGGTCTTTTTCACTTCCAAAAACGGTATACTACCGTAAAATTAATGTCCAATACATGTAATATCCAATACAGTTTTTCACCGTATATAGTAGGGGAATTTACCGTTAACCATTTAACAGGTTTTTACTGTAGCATTTACGGTCATTTTTTACAGTGATAGGGAATGCCAGGTATACACACTGAGCAGCAGAGGGCGCCAGATCTTTTTTTTTTCTGGCGGCTTCAGTGCGGCCGCCAGATGATGTCACTGTTATTATACCTTAATCCACAGAGCTCATGTAACTTCTACAAGGTGCTTCAAACAGTGTTTCCCAGAAAGCTGTGGGATTATGGCTACAGATTTATCCTTCAGTATCTTTCCTTAATATCTGGTCATGATATAACCATTGACAAACACCAAACAAGAGATTCATATTAAAATCCTTCAGAATTTTTACCCTTGCAATGTTTTCTTGGCTAAATTCATGGAAATTCATACAAACTCTTATTTTTGTGTTTCTGAAAATGAATCAACAATTCTATTCTTCACATGTACCAATTCAGTCTCATTCTGGAATGTGATCTCATTATTTATTTTTACATCTTTTACCTATCTTTATTTATTTTTTTATTATCTGTGTGTACTGGAAGCTTCTTCGGTCACCAAAACAAATGTGTGCTCATAAGCTAATTAGTTTTGTCCCCGACTAAGGATTTACATAGTCAAATCAGAATTGTCAAGTCTTGCCTATGTGTGTGGGGGCAAGGGGCAAAATACATTACCAAGAGTCAAGAAGTCAGACATTCAACAGTCATAAATACTGATGTTAACACACAGGGAAAATGTGTAACAGATGCCTCGCAAAGGGAAAGAAAGCTGCAGACAGGGAGACAACTTTTGACTAAATAGGCTACTTTTTCTTGGAAGAATGGTGAGAGCCTTGCGAGAGAAAAGCCTGACTGTGTAACTGCTTATCCATACATTTACAGTAGCCTAGTATTGTCAAATACGGTACATTGGTACAAAGTAGATGATGAAATTTGAGGAAAACGGGAGTGAATGCGCTAAATTTTCTTTCCATTATTCTGCCCCGAAAGTGAGATGATTGACATGTGATAACCATAGCAATGAACAGAAAGAAAAAATTACAGAATTTGTTTTTGATGTTCATTTAATTATCGACTTTTAACTTGAACTGAAATATATTTGAAGTCTACATTTGTAATATATTAATATCTTGCTATGTTACTAGTTTCTTTTGGACCCTCTGAAAATAGACTGTGAAAATAAATCAGTCTTGGGTGTTTGATGAGGTGTTGTGTGACTGGGGCCCAACATTTGGTGCTCTGCCCCTGCTCGGTGAAGCAGCTTAAAGAGCATAAACAAACACAGCAGAAAAACAATGGAAACGTAGCGCAATTGGATGGCAAAGAACCTTAAGGTTTAGTGCAACAAAATTAATAAATATATTTCATGGTTATACACGCTCGCTCACAGGAGGAGGGGGGGATTTCCATTTCCATTTTGGGAAATTAAAGGGATTTCTATATTTTATCCATTAAATAGCGTAGGAAAGCGATCCGACTTCTGCACATAATAGGCTAATAGCGGGACATTTGTCTATGGTTAGCTGTGCAATGTGGGCTTTTGCATGGCCGTAATACCTCGATGAACTGAGTGACAGCTTTTTAATGATTATAAAGGGAGTTTGCAAATGTGATATTGATTGTATACAACAGTTCAAGAAGTTAATATTGTAACTTAGATTTTAGGAACACTGTCGTCTGATTTTGCTGTATTTCACCGGCGAAAATAGATCCAAACAAAGTCACAGCTGAGCCGCTGCTCAACTCCATGCAAACACAGAGGTGTTCCGTTTATGAATGAATGTGCGTTTATGAACGATTCTAGTGAGTCAATGATTCAATGATCCATTCATAAATACAAATGGAGTCTGAATGAATCAGCTGTATGAAAGAATCGACCTTGATTGAATAAATGAATGATTTAGTGACAAAGACAGTGACTTGCCTCCACCTGCTGGTGGCTTGAGTTTCATTTTTAAAGTGTAATTTAACTTATTTGAATAATTTAATATGGAAACGGCTATGCAAATAGAAATGCATTCTATTTACATTAAGTGAAAATAGCAGTATTTTATTAGCGATATGCTATTTACACTATGTGCAAATAATGCTAGATTCTATTTACATTATGTAAAAATAGCAGCATTTTCTTTTTATACCAAAAATGGCAGATATTTGCACCTCAGTATTGTAGTACCTTATAAAACAGTATGCAGTAATAACATATTGATTGTAAATTATCATATATTTTTTTACATTTCTAAATGGATGCCGTCTTATATTGGGACAATAAAGGCCTTCCTACCTAAACCTAACCGATAAAACTATTAAATACTTGCGACGGCGAGGCACTTTATTTCCATTTTTAAAATATTTCCTTCATTTTGACTGAAACTATTCGGGGTCACCCCTAAACCATACTACTCTAAAATGTTTTACTTTTTTTGTTAAGATGCATCAGTCAAACACAAAGTTAAAAACACACAAGTCTTTATTGTAGTTTAGACAGTGTTTTAAGGTGAGATGACACTCAATAAACCTCATAATGCTAAACATACAAAGATACAAGATACATACAAACAACACAAAGTTCTAGCTCTGATATTGAGGTTCATAAAATACCACTGGCTTTCCATGAACTGCACATCTGTTTAAGGCACATGTTAATTAAACCACTGGCACATGTGATTAATTTAGCAGTAAACGGTGCTGATCACATGGTTTTGTTGTTAATTTTTGATAACCGATCATTCTTCTGCTTCTGAATGAATATGTGAGCTTACTGTTTTAATATAATCACGTAAACAATGTGTCCGAATAGCACAGAAAACAAGAAAATGACCTCCACAAGACGAAAAAGACACGATTATACACGAAAAATATAAAGATAAGCTTACTCTGGCACATCCCTTTCTACACGCTCAATAAAAACACTCATTCCACTGTATTCAGACGTTCTCTCCACAACCAAACACATTTAATACACAAGTTTCACAATTTGAGTTGAATTACTGAAATAAATGAACTTTTCCACGACATTCTAATTTATTGAGATGCACCTGTATATATATATATATATATATACACAAAACCAAACACTTCCCACTGGCAAAGTACATTTAGAGTGGCTGAAACGAAAGCTCATGAATAATCTAAGGACATCCTAACCAGCCAATCACTGAGCTCGGAACTCTCCAGCTCTGCTCTGATTGGCTGAGAACATTCATCGGTCAGATCAGGCAGTTTCTGTGTGCGTTTCTAATGGCTACATGCTTGTGAATGCGTTTGTATCGGTCAAATAAGCTGCTTATGCGATTATGAGATGAGAGGTGAATTGATCACGTTATCGCACCCCGAGCGTCCAAACCTTGCGGCTGCTTTCAGCACTGAGCATCTGAAGCGACACACTCAGACTTCCTGTGCTCCAGGAATGAGGAAGCGGCTGTGATTGGCAGACAGATTGCTGCTGTGGGCGGGGCTTCTCTTGAGGAAACATAGAGTTGAGATTCAGCTGGCCAATCACAGAGAAGCAAGGAGCCGATCGGATCGAGCGCAGCACTAGAGTGAAAGAGAGAGAGAGAGATTTATAAATCAAATGCAGATTTAAAAAGAAAAAAGTTATACATGTAAAAAGTCACCTATATGATAATGGTAAAACTGTTTGTTATAAATTATTTTGTTTTTATTCTTTAAAAAAGGACTGAATGCAATAAAACTAAACAGATAACATTTAAAAAAAGGAAAACACTATATATATATTTAGATTTTAGAGTTAAATGTTTATATTATATTTTTGCTGTCCAATGAAAAACAAAAATAAAAGCAATCTTGCAAAATAAATTAAGTCGCCTTTAGCACCTTTAGACACATCTGCGATAGTGTTGTCAGAAATATAGATTTTCGACTCATTTTTGCACAGTATTGACTCTAGATTCGTATTGAAGTTTGTAAACCTTAAACTTAAAGGTCTTCCTGCAGGTTTCAGCCGATATAAAAGCTCGAGGGTTTTTATAAGAGCTCAAACTCTTGTAAGTGAAGAAATTAAGTCATACGCATTTCTTTACTACTATAAAGTAAAATAATTATTATACTTAATATGAAATATTAATTTATTAGTTTACAGTTAGGAAATGTCAGTTTAGTTTTAGTGAACTATAATCTCAATGTCTCATATGCAAATAAAGATATAGCTATACTACAAAATATACCCCATAAATATATTCTGCTCGCCCAAATAAACGATGATAAATGGCAGTGTTTCATCTTAAAGTGGAAATTAAATTCCCTGTGGTGTAGAATATCAGTATTGTTCAAGGTACTGTATCAATTACACTAATCAAGACCAAAAATGTGTTTTTCATCAGACAGCGATGATATGTCTATCGTGTGTGTGTGTGTGTGTGTGTGTGTGCGTGTGAGAGAGTGTCTGTGCGTGTGTGTGTGCGAGAGTGTGTGTGTCTGTCTGTGTGTGTGAGAGAGTGTCTGTGCATGTGTGTGTGCGAGAGTGTGTGTGTGTGTGTGTGTCTGTCTGTGTGTGTGCGAGTGTGTGTCTGTCTGTG